CACGATTAAACAACCCAGCTCACAGAACCCAATACAACCAAGATATTTTACAATAAAACATGATTAGTTTTGTCTATTTATGACAACCAATATGAACACTTTTCCTAAATAAGTCTGGTCACTATGAGTCAATCATGACCAACAGCTGCTACCTTGAAGTGGTGATCAGGCATGTATATCACAATGATCTAACGAGCTACATTGGCTAGAACATTTATTCTGTCTAGGTCCCACTACTTCAGGAAAGTCAAACGGATAGTGGTAAGATGAGAAGTAGTTGCAGTTATAGTGTGAGTCACTATGCTGTTACGGGGTTCCCAGGGCGAAGGCATACTGCTGGCTGGATGGGATGTGACAGCAGTAAGGTGTTTCCCTTATATGGCCAGCAGTTCCATCCTGATTCTACCCTCCTGATGGAAAGGAGGGGTTAGAAAAGGATGGACCTAAAAACAGCACACATCTTCCTTTTTCACTGTCTTCTGATGCTAGTTGTAGGGTTTTTTATGAGGCCTTAGAACAATTAAATCGCATTCCCACAATCCTAAAAAGGCTGTGTTGCAGGCCTCAAGCAGATGCCTCATGAGCTCTCTGGTCACATGAATCTTCTTCTCGTTTAAGTTCCCTACAGTAATAACTTCTACGGTGTGTGCAGCTGACAACCTCTTGCACACCTAAAGTAGTATACAAGGTCTAATCAAACATAACCTTGCTCCTAACCTCTTTGTCCTCCTTTTTGGTCACTGCATGGTACCAATCTTAATCCTGTTATAACTTCCTCGACCTTTATGGGTCCACTGTCATTCCTAGTCTCCTAGGATCACGCTATCCGTGTCACCCTGGATCTATCAGCTTCCAAACTTTATACCAAATCCAACAACAGACATCGCTCGCCAGAACTGTAGGAATTTGAGCCATGGGTGTATGCTGCCTTAAAGATACGTATACGGGATCCGAATGTAATTATTAAATTGACCTCACCTGGCACTAGTAGTGAATCTTCAAAATTCACCCAACCAGTATCCAGAGACCCAATGGCTAGCTCTTATGGAATCGCTGGTGTAGGCGTAGGGTTGAGCCGTTTGACAGAAAATGCATTTCTTGACCGGATACCAGTCAACACCCGTCTACGTGCTGTTTGAATGCATGGGTCTGTAAAAAAATAGTAAGCATCTTGAGATTAACCGATGCTTACTCGTAATCTCCGCCTACGTACCCATCAACTTAGGTTCAGTAAACATGGGATGAGTCCTTTCAAAAGCTGTCACTTTTTCTACAGACTTCATCTATAAATCTCTTAGGGTAACCATCTTCTTCAGACATCTCTGGATGAACCAAAGTTCTTCAGTTATTTCATCTGATCAATAAGTTTTTTCTGGTCCTATGAAAGACCTTTCTAACTAGTCTTTGCTTATAATTCAAAGGAAGGACAAAATAGATTGTAAACACTGTTCACTGCATGTTTCTTTTCTGTGGACAGATATCTAATACGACCCATCTTTCGTTCGTCAAATATCCGAGTTTAAAGGTTGAAATTTCTTGTTTGTTTCAGCTTCCATGATCAACTTAATGTTCACGTACATCTCTTTATATACTACTAACAGGTTTCAGCCATAATCTAGACAGACAGAAAAAATCACCTCAGAACCTCTCACGAAAGTATATAGGCTCTATTTGCCACACTCACGGTAGTATACAAAGAACAGGTTGATAGAAAAAGTGATATCAAAGTAGAAAAAGTTGAGTGAGAGAATAAGCAATTTAAAAATAGAGGTTATAGCCAATATTCAAGCTCTAGAAGACGTCAAAGAGTGAATACATCTCCTTCATTGTGAACGATTTTCAGTCATATCACCAAAAGTCCTCAACCACTGACTTCTATCCAGTCGAAGACCCCAACCAGCTAGTCAGCATTTCTCCATACGGCTCATGCCAACAGTCAGAGTCTTCACGAATTTGTCGCCACGTCATGGTCTGGCCAACCTGAACTCTTTCCCAACCTAGTCCAAACTCCCCTAGCATGCTACATTGAGGTAGACTATACATGCATGCATGCGCAGTGCATATCCAAGCCGTCTCAGTCGATGAAGGCTCACAACCTCAACACGGTGATCCTACTAAATGAGAGTAATGCTGCGAAGATATCAATAGTCAAAACCTGTAACTGCCTCATATTCTCTATTTTTAACAACCATGTCTCACAGCCATGTAACAGGATACAGTGGATTGAAATCTAGTATACTCGTCCATCAATAGATAATCGCGCATCTCTCCAGTCGGCGCTACAGATGACCCAGGTTGGTAGGTGCTAAATGATCTTTTTGTATCCAAGCTGAGATTTTGTAAGCGACCCATTCGATCTGATACAACTCCACAAGTAATTGATGCTAACGACAGATTTCACCGCTTCACTCTCTTTCTTAAAACTACGAGTAGTTACAGACCAGTCCTGAAGCATCCTTTCACACTTGACGGATGCAAAGGGCATGGCAAACGTACTCAGATTACTCCTAAATGCTTTCAGGAGACCTTGCTTTATATCAGTCTCTTCTCCCAGCATAACGACATTGCCTAAGCGGTCTAAGTAAACCAGAAACCCTCCAGAGAGTGGATGAATCTCTATGAAGTCAGGCATACCTAAGGTTATGCCGATTAATACGTCTATGACGAAGTTAAATAGGAATGGTGACAGTGGACATCCTTGGTATGATCCATATTATTACATAAAACAAATATATTACCAACGTAACTGTTATACATTAAAGTTTGTCTAATGACTTGAGCTACTGTAGTTCTTTCCCATTACGTTAAGGTGGTTAAATTGTCTTAAAAGTTCAATTGCTATCCATGTGATGGATACAGGTCAAAACATTCAAATTTTGAGTGTATTTAAACTTATTATCAATGAATAAAACAGTTCTAAATTATTAGGATTCTTGCGGGAGTTGTGGGGACTAGAAAATATTCCAAGTTGTTATCCATCGTAGACTGACATTAGTTGGAGGAACGATGGAAACCTTGGAGCACTGGACAGCTGTTTCGTACTAGTATGGGACTCTCCAGCAGTGCGCATCCACGACCCCACCAGGGATCGAACCCGCAACCCTCAGGTTCCGTGGCCAGCACGTTAGCATTGAGCCACTGGGTCAGAATCCAATGCTCCATATTTCCGACTTCTGTTGGCTGACGATATAGTCGTGACCGGTGGGGGCAAAAGCTTGATGGTCGTGAGGACAGTTACTCAACGATGACAGTGGGTGGTGGTTGTGCTCTATCGTGAGCTAACAGAAGTTGGAAATATGGAGCATTGGATTCTGACCCAGTGACTCAATGGCAACGTTCTGGCCACAGGACCTGAAGGTCGTGGGTTCGACTCCTGGTGGGGTCGTGGGTGCGCGCTGTTGAGGAGTCCCACACTAGGACGAAACAGCTGTCCAGTGCTCCCAGGTCTCAGTTGTCTCTCCAACTGATATCAGTCTACTATGAATAGCAACTTGAGTTATTAAGATTCAAAGAAAAAACTGTAATCAGATGAAATAAACCAAAATCATGTATCCAAAGAGTGGCGGTTGTTAGCCTCAAACTTCCAATGTAGTAACTAATTCATTTGATTGTTCAGTATAGAACAATCTAAACTTATTATTGTATTGTGTATTTTTGTCCTCCTTTTCCAACTGATTTCACAGTCAGTTTTTATTTTATCTCCACAGTCTTATCAATTAACCCCCAACTGATCTGACATTTAATTCATATTCAATTCCTAACCGTGTATTTATATTACTCATTTATCATATTTACTTCAGTAATCTTTTCTATCAAATTTTCCACTTGTCAAGTGTAGTAGGATGACAATTTGGCTAAACATACATTGAATAACTATTATTTTAGTCTTAATTACTCATTTCATACGAACTTCCTTAACTTGTATCATGTTTTTCATTATTTTTTATCAATGGAATATTTTCTCTTCAGTAGCTTAAGTATGTACAGATTTGTTACGGTGGTGGTTGACTTTATGATTTGCGTTAGAGTCTATTCATTTGCTTGTTAGGTTCGTATTGTTCGAAGTCTGCTAGGCTGGTATCACTCGTAGACCGCTGGATCATACTACCTGTCATAGAAAGATTATGCTCCTTTGTATATACATCGTATAGTTTTTGTAGTGTTTATGCAGTTAGAAGGAAGACGATGAAATACCCTTGAATTCATCATAATCAACCAAATTTGTTGTTTTCACTTCAGTAAAAATGATTTTCACTCAGTAACTTAGGTGACTGTGCCTATGAAGATTTGCTTCACTATTGATGTGCACTCAGATGTTTATGCGTGGAGATGGATTGGGCATACACTGAGAAGACCATTCGGGGATATCACACGCCAGGCCAGGCCCTCGAGTGGAACCCAGATGGGAAACGACGAGTTGGGCGTCTGAGGCGAGGGTGACATGGAGGAGATCATGTGAAAAAGAAATGAGAGCTTCTGGGCTGTCATGGAGACAGGTTTAAAAGATTGCAAAGAACAGAGTGAACTGAAGACGTGCTTCTGAAGCCCTATGTTCCACTAGGAACCCAAGGGATATACTGTAAGATATCTTTTCATCATCTAGTCACATGCTTTTGTACCACATTCCCATTACAGTCAATGATGTTTTTTCACGGGAATATTTGTCAGTCCGTGAAATATTAAACAAGTCTGATGAGAACAAACATATACATATTGATAAATTCAATTACAGAATAAACATTCATATATTAAAATTCATTCCACTCTCTCTTTGTCTCTCTCCCTATGTCCATAATTTATATTCTCTTAATTTAAACAAACCGGTTAAGGTCATCTACAGTATTTTATTGTTAACTTTTATTGAATACGTTTTGATCAAATCATGAGCTTTAAATTATAAACAGTAATATTAGGAATAAATTTGTAAGTACTAATAAATAGTAATGTAATGCAGTGTTAATTTCACACGGATAAATCTTGTTCACTCACTGATTTAATAAATGGCTGAACTAATCGGTACATGGAAATATGTTGAAAGTTTTAAAATGGATGAATTATATAGTGAATTAAGTAATTACTTCTAGTTACTTTTCAATTAAAAAGGCGTTCCAAAAGATGTATTCAACGCTACAAATGAATTTCAGCATACATTGAGTATAAGCTTAGATGATAATGAATTACATCTAAAAAAGATATTGTATGATCGTGAAATTGATCAATCATTTGAATTGGGTCAAGAAGTTCAAGAGTTGACATTAGATGGACGAATTGTTCTGGTAAGAAGAAGAAATGCTTAATTTTTCTAATTATTTATTATTCATTGATGCTTATAATCTTACGTTTCTATATTATACTTGACTTAATTTTGACTTAAATATACTCATATAGATTTATTGAATGGAATAATATCTCCAGGAAAATTGACAATGATTGAAGTGGTAGTAGCAATAGTCACAAGATATGGATCATTACCATTTTACCTTTTATGTGGTTTCGCTTACTGTTTAAATGTAAGTGGTTGAACAGTGGCGCTTTGGATTAGGCAGTTGACTTTTAACCAAGGGGTCACGGGTTCTAACCCTGCTTTATCTACCGATGTTTGGGTAGCTAGGTAGTATCATTTGCCCTCACAAAATGAGTGCCTACTGAATAGATGTGCACATGCTTGCTGAGTATATTCCAGTCCCAGTAAACGTGAATGTCCGTTCGCACAGTAGTCCATTTGAACTTATTTTGCTTTTATATCAGGAATGTATACCATAGTGAAACTTTCCAAGGGTAGAAACACATTTTAACTATGAAGTATATACAAAGTTCAATAGATGACTTAACTTTTCAGCTGCCTAACACTTTGATATTACAAGAATTTCTGTTAATAACTGCCATGATAAGATCCCAGACGATTATCTCTGATATAAACTAGTGAAGTTAATTGCTGAACAACAGGAGTCATCAAAAATCGTTTACACAAATCAGTAGATTTTACTAGCCAGATTAAAGTAGTTTAGACGTTGAACGATCATTAAAGTTGTTTACATCCCAAATGATCAATGGTATTAAAAGATAAATTCAGCTAGGTCAACCTGACAATCTGACCCTTATGTGAACAAAATTTGTCTGTGTAAACTATTGAGAAGATTTTAACTAAAGTAAGACAATGCCAGTCAGGTGTAAAGTTCACTATATCCCTATCAATATAATCGACCGATTAATGAAAATGCTTTTTTATTACTCATTTTGTTGGGCAGTATATTCTATCAAATTCGGAGTAGGCCTCAGAAGATTTTTGTACATATGATTACAATATATATGCCAAATTTATATAGTGGTGAAGTTAACTGCTAGACTTCCAAATGAATGTGAAGAGTATCTTGGTGATAACTTTTAATTAATTTAGATAAACTTTCATGAACTCTTTTTATCCGCATCACAATCCTCATTGATTGGAAAACGCCAAAACATTATCATTCACATGGTAATGATGGATAGGGGCTAGTAGTGAGTGATGTTGTCGCATCAAGACTCGAACCTGGCACCGTTAACACGAAATGGCTATCATGAATTGGTGGTCTAGGAAATAACGCTTTAGCATTTGAAGTGATCGGTCCTGTGTTCAAATCTCAGTCGGAACAACATCACTCCGTGAGATGTAGGTACATTTAGCTGACGAGTCCAGGGCAGGACGAAATGCGCCTCTTGGATTCCACTACTCGTCATTATCCGTCATCATTACGAAATCGAAAAAAGGGCAATGTTGAGGCGTCCTCCTAGCAGCCCATGTGCCAATGGTTCTGTTTGGTTCAGTCAACTATGGGAGAATACAAGCAACAACATAAATATTATAATTTTCATTCTGACCTAGTATCTTGTAAAATAAAGACGGTATGATGTTTCTTCGAACTTTATTATTTGCAAATGGTATGGTAAATATTCATTTTATTGCTATCAGTCTTTTCAAAACTAAACAACCTGACTTAGTTTGAGTAATTTTTCGTCGCACTCTCCGTATAAACCAGAGATCAAGAATTTAGTGGTAGGTTTCTTATGATTCACTTGACTAAAACTAATTTTTCCATGACAGCAAAGATACTATAAGAATCTAGTTGAGATAAGAATCCTTCCTATGTAGTGAAGCAAGGGAACTAATACCACAGATTTATGGCCTGGGATTACTGTATAGTCCTCCAAGTTTCTGTAACTCATATCTCTAAACCAAAGTATGTAAAGGATAGGGAAAACTAGAGAAGTGAAAATAATGTCAGTAAAAGTTGAAGAAGATACTCAGACAAATATGGGAGAAGGTAAAACTGCCAAAGATTATGAAGATAAGCTTAGAATGTACTAGCATGACTGTGATCCATTGTATGTTATATTAAACAGAGTCTGCAGCTTTCGGTCTCAGTTATCTCGTTAAATGCATAAAGTAAGTCACCTGTTCACTACATGACTCAAACCAGCAGTCAGAGATTTTATTTACTTGTACTAGCCAGTCAATTCCACAAGAAGAGGGAATTAATGATTGTCAAGTTACCACATTTCCAAGGTGGTTGGATATGATTTTGTATCTCAGGTGAATCATCAGCCTTATTTCGGAAATGTGTATACATTTTTCTACTGGTATAACACTGAAAGGAGTATGTGAAGGTTATTCGATTGTTAAATAACATCGGCAAATAATTTCATCACCAAAAAACAATTTAAGATGATGGATCTATGTATTCAGTAGATCACAATTACGTGAGAATGCATTGAAAGCTTATCTGGAACGAAATTGATAGTTTTCAGTATTCGTTAATCTCCTTATCGCCTAAATATCTAAGTTCATTTAAAATAATTACTTAATCATTTTCAATTCGAAACTAGTTCATGAAATGCATACAGTATTCATATGAACTAATGAAGAATATCCGTTAGTTCAAGTTGTAGACGTTCAGTTGAAAATGTGCCCTGAAATGATGATATTTCCCATCGAATAGTCAGTCATATTTTAGTCATGAAATCCAGTGACAGTTAAAAGTCAATCTTACACTGAATTCAGCAACTGAAATTTCATTGAAAACTATTCTAGACATCGCCATCTCAGAAGACACTTCTCCCATTAACACTGATCATTGTTAAGATTCACGCAAATTATCATATTTCAACATAATACTTAATATGATTCCAACAGAAACAAGCACTGAGTCAATATTTGTCACGCTACTGGTATAATGCCTACATTTTTTGATACACATACTTGCGCAAAGAATTCCCATTAGATGAGAATACTTTTGTAAACTCAGTGAGTACAATTTTATTCCATTTAAACTGTTAGTTTAGGTAACTTTAGCACAAACTAACAGAAATGAATGGGTTCTTCTTCACTTCTGAATATCTAAAAGTTTAGACTGCTACAGTCCGAATTTACTGACAGATTTCGTCAACCTCACTCTGCTCCTAAAGACGCAGTGATCCCGCTATTAGTCGAATACAATCTACTTTTATTTATTGAACAATCCCAGCAGAGACTCAGAAAGCCAGTTTGGCATCTAACGACTGGAGTTATCTGCGGCATCGACTCATGATATGTCTGATCACCTGTTAACTGACAAGTATATTGCACTACGGTCCATCCTATCCCGTTATATAGCTGTGGAATACGGCCGTTAAAAAAAAAGAGACATGAAGCAGTTAAAGAGTTTTGATCACAGATGTCTTCACAGCATTGGTCGCATAAGGTGGAATAACCTTGTGAACAATTTTGAGGTCAGGCGAAGGGTACTCGGCAAGATATGTTGCAAACCTTCATCATGTGAGGTGGAATGCATGCATACTGTGCCTGCCAAGCCACCGCCTACCTCGGTATACCATGTCATGGGGAGTTGGATTAAGTTAGAAAGGGGTTCAAGGTGGCCAGACCTAGACATCGCACCAGTCGATGAAGCCCCTGATTATTGGTCTAAATCGTATGGGACGATGTAAACTGTTTGGTTTGGGTCCCTGAGATAAAAAGAATCAGTGGTTGCGAACTCTTCGTGATATGGCTGGAAATAGGTCACAATGGTGAGAATATATTTGCTCTTCGATGTCTTCTAAAGCTTAAACATTCACACTAACCATTATCTCAAGATGTTTTATTCATTCACACAACTTTAGATACTTTAATATCATTCTCTTTCTATCCCCCTGTTATTTATATACCACTGTGGGTTGTGGTAAATTGAGCCGATCCACTTGTATACGAGGTTCTACGTTGGTTTTGTCGGTCATATTTGTTGAACAAATGATTAGCTACTACCAACACAAGTTGAAAGCCCTTCACCATATTTATCGTAATAAAATAAATATGATGATCTCAACTAATTCCAGAAGATTGTATAAAACAGATGCTCCCAGCTTAACCAGGTTTAACAGGACTGATGAAACCGATTATTACTTATTTACACAAAAGCTGGCACTCAGAATAACCTATCAGATTAGACAATATGTTCTTCCTTTACATTCAGATCCCTGTGTTACACGTAACTGAATATGTTTGTATTGTATCAAACAATTCTCATTTTGACTATATGCCATGGTTCGGCAGATTAGTATTTATACTGGGTGTTGATTGAAGGTGAAATGAAACTTTGGACCGCAACCGGATTCAAGCCAGCGAACACCGGGTTTCTGGTTCGATGCTCTACCAGCTGAGCTACGAGGTCCGACTGCCAGAAAGATTTTTATTTTACTTCAATGACTGGTCACTGGTTGGAAACCGGCTGCGATCCAAACATTCATCTCGCCTTCAATCATGATCAAGTATCAATAATAGTCTACCAGACCACGGCTATCTCCCTTAGAGTGTCAAAATGATAATAAATAAGATGCTCCCCGTCTCCAATTCAGTTAGATTTGGATTAGGACGGGAAGTCCTGACTAGGCAGCCAGTGTGAATGCAATCAAGCGGTAGTAACGTGTCATGAATTCACATGATAGTCGGGTTAAACAATTCTAGTTTTTTGCAAAGGATTTTTTTAACATTCTGTCTCTGTCGTAATAGTAGGAAGTCAAATAGCAAGTAAACTGGCAGCTAATACTTTTCACGTGCTTCTTAATGATGATGATTCTTCAGACTACTTCACAGTACTGAAGTAGTTCTACATGCTTAAACACTGTTTCCTGACTTATATTCGCATCCCTACCACTACTAATAATTTATAAGTTGAATCTACTGATTTCGTAATGCCACAGTTTTAATTCTAACCATTAGTTCACTGAGAAAACCCCTTGGTCAAGCTGATTTCTAGTCTGAAAACAAGGCTGATTAGTGACATAGTAAGGTCTGAGTAAAATCTCATCTTCAAATCATATTTTGAAGCCATCATGACTCTGATGAGGCTAGACAACTACGAGGCATTACACAGTGATGGTGTCAAAGTTTGGGAATACACATTACGTTTCAGTGTGTGAACTACTGAATTACAACAATACATCCATATCCTACTTTTTATACTCTTGTGATCGTTCTTCTACAGTTAAGCTGTCATAAATGCTAAAAGTTAATTGATCGACTTTTCGTAAATTGAGTCAATCAAACGGTACCAATGTTCATTTCCATGTATGTCTGCATTAATTTTCACTGTTTTCCATTCTGTACCTAGTTGGTCTTAGTTAGAGATAAGGTGAAGTCTTAGAAATATTTTCAGGTTTTCAGGAGTTATGCTTATCTTCATAATTTAGACTAAAAGTTTATTTTCTGTCTCTCTTCTTCCATGTTTTGTTTTCCAATTAGGCTTTTGTAACAGTTGAATCAGATAAAAAGATGGTACATATACAAAGACATGGCTTCACAGAAATTGTTATCACACGTGAAGTTGATGGCGATATATTGATGACAGTAAGTTTTATTTGCCTGCTATTTTCTGTATACTTGGATTAGCATAATGTTTGAAGCAACATCTGTTTAGGTTCAAATCCCAATGGGAACACTATCACTCATTAAGATGAAGGTATGTTCAATGATGAATCCTAGACAGGACGAAACACGTATCTTGGATTTCGATGCTGACCATCACCAGGCAAATTACCTTCAAAATAGTTTAATGTTGTGAAATGTTTGAGGTGTAGTCCTTCAGATGATTTTCTTGAAACTGCAAATTATCAAATACTACTACTTATAAGTTAACATAAATAAATTGAGCCTAATCATTATCTGGCTATCGTTAAAACTTGATTTTATATGATAACTATACGAATGCCAAGTACACTCATTTGTTTAGAGAAAACTATAAAAGAGACTGAAACATACACTTTATATCTCATCTCAAGTTCATAAGGACTACTTAAATTGGTTGATTGATTTATTTACGTAAATATACTGAAATTAGGTTGTCTAAGGCTACACTGAGTACTACAATCTTTCATTTTCTGTCATCTGATGATTGATAATAATAACTGAATGATTTCATCCATGAAGTAATGATGAAATGAAAAACTCAGGCACAGATCTGATGAGTATTATCACTGAATGATTCAAGCATGAATGAAGCTAGAATTTCAGCTTCAGGTAGCTCTTGGCAGTATGATTCAGCAAGCATGGATCTCATGTTCCAGAAATTATTCTCAAACACCAAAAGCGAATGGTTTCAAGACTTAAACTCTTTACTTAATTTATTTAAATAAAACCTAAAGAATAAATCTACCATTAAAAGTCACTGACGTAGAACCTCGTATACAAGTGGATCGGCTCAATTTACCACAATCGACAGTAGTATACAAACAACAGGTGGATAGAAAAAGAATGATATTAAAGTATCTAAAGTTGTGTGAATGAATAAAACATCTTAAGATAATGGTTAGTGTGAATGTTTAAGCTTTAGAAGACGTCAGAGTGAATACATCTGCATCACTGTGAACGATTTGCAGATATATCACCAAGAGTCTTCAGCCACTGGTTCCTTTCTTCTCAAGGACCCAAATTAGGCAGTCTACACCACCGAATACAACGTACTGACTGACTGAAAGAAAGAAATAATAGTTGATTACGGCTATAAGAACACACTAATGAGAACCTCTAAACTGAAAGGATAGAACTACCTGATACATTTTGAATTTCAGCTGCTCCACAGATTATGTTGTTCTTCAAGCTATTTAGTTTTTCACAAAGCACTTGACTGAATGGTTTGTTTTCTTGATGAATCTTCCAGCTGCTTATTTTTATTTTCTTAACTCCAGACAATAAAAAGTCAAAATCAAACCGCTACAATCAAATACCAGCGTGTTTAATACCTATACTGGAAGAAGAATCACATTATGTTGTTAAAGATACAATGAAAAGCGTTATTCAAATATATTACATATGCATCTTTTATTTTTAGCCTTACCAATACTACTTGTCATTTACAACAAGAAATCTCAAGACTGCTTTGATAGTATGAAAAGTATCACTGCTCAATGTATGTTGCTAACCATATACTTGATAAAACCAAGGTAAACGGGTTTATTTGTATTTTCTTTGCTGTAAAAGAAGAAACACTTTATGAAGCGATTAATTACGGAGTTAAATTTACCAAATATCTTCCAACCTGCTTATTGGACAGGTTTGTTTCAAGCTAGAAGATACTGACATAAATGGAATTCTTAAAATCCAACATGATCGAGTGTGTGAAATATCTAACATAATTGCTTCTCTGGGTCATCAAACAACGACTAGTGTGACTGTCAGGTTCCATTTGGATACCGCTAATCATAGGTTCCTGTTGATAGGCTACATCTCTTTGGGTGGTACAATACTATAGCTGTGTGCGGGCTCATCCTAACGCTATACTCATCAAGACATCTAGTGACGAGAATAAAACGTTTATGAGGTTCACAATATTGAATAAATTAATGTATTTACCGAAAATATATGGAAATGTACGAAGCCCCAAAAGCATAAGTGACCTGATCATGTTATCGTAAATAAACTCATTAACAGACAGACTGAGGTCACCTGTCATTAATTACCTCTAAACCTCAGTCTCCAGACCTGTTTTTATTGATCAGCTGACTACAGATATAAGAATAATTAATCTAGAAGTAGTATTCATCATCGACTGATATCAGTTGGGGAACCATCGAAAATCTGGGAGCACTGGACAGCTGTCTCGTCCTAGTATGAGACTCCTCAGCAGTACGCGCCCACGGCCAGGGATCGAACTCAGGACCTTCGGGCTTCACAGTGAACGCACTAACCACTCAGCCACTGGGTCGGTTTCCAGTGGTTCACAATTTCCAACTTCTGTCAATTCACGACATAGCGCGACTGTCACTCAAGGTCTTCACTTAGCATCCACTTCACTTCCGACTGGATGACCTCACAGGTCACCGCTCCCAGATCTTCAATGGTTCTCCAAATGATGTCAGTCCATATTGAATTCCTTTTTCTAAAATAGAAATCCCCATTCATCTCAAAAGTGTAGTAATTAATCTATCATCTAGCAAAATATTATCGCTACTAAAGAGAAGTACCACTTATTTCTTTCATCTTTAAGCCTTAACAAAGAAAGAATTATGAAATACTTGGGTAACATTCAGCCTATAACTTATCTAATTTATACCGATATCAGTCACAGACAAGTGCAATAAAAGCAACGTAAAAACCGTCAGTATTTTCTGACTTATCGCTTTGAAATATACCATAGGAAACTGATATCTATAGAGAAAACAACAAATAAACCTGAAACTAAAAGGAATGAATCTTTAGTGAAAAATCAGCACACATTAACATGTTCAGCTTGTTTTAAATTGAATCAGAGTAAATTACTTAATTGTAAGTTATATGTCCTAGTTATTTTACAGAACAAAAGTCATAGATTTATGAAATAGTGAAGGTAATTGCGAAATAAAAAAACAACCATTATCCTAAGATGATAAGTCAAACATAATCTGATTTCTCAATTGTAATCCCTAAAGATGAAATGAATAGTTAGGTCGTTAAGACGAGTAGAACTCTCACTTTAGAAAGTAATAGATTTGAGCTCTTTTTTATCTTCAAGTAAATAATACTGTAACATCACTGTGCGCTATATCCAAAAGCATCTTGTATGGATTTATACTCTACCTCACTGTCCAAGTATTACTCTAACATTCCTTATCTTATGTGTTTTATTGATTCATGGGCTAACATGGAAAATCAACCGATAAAGAAATCATTATTGATCTCGAAGACCTTAGTACCTCCAAGGGATTAGAAGGTCACTGTCAGTCAGTCAGTTAACCACTTTTTTTATTTCACTTAGTGATTGAAGTGAAATAAAAATCTGGTCAGTAGTTAAGTTTCGAAGCTCAGTCGGTAGAGCACCGGATCTCAATCTCAGTGGTAGCTGAATTGGATCTTCCTGCTGCTGAAATTTCTATTTCAACCTCAATCATATTTGACAAAGACCAAATAATTGAGGTAAGAGATAGCATATATGTATAGTATTCAAAGTTAGCGAAATAGGAAACTGTTCCGACTTTTCAAAGTATTAGCTTTATAGGGCGACTGACTGAATATTCCAGTGAGAAAAATGGCAGTTGAGAGGGGATTGAATGGAATTTTATTGGACGATTGGTTAGAAAAACAAATTTCGCACGGCGTAAAAGTAATAAAAGTTGGTAGATTTTCATTAGTTTAGGTAGCAAGATTAGCAAAATTCAACAAATAAGAAGCCACTATAAAACGGTTTCGTAATGAAAAGTTAAGAGAAATAGAAAGATATTAAATTTGGACAACTAAAGTTAAATTTACCAAACTAACGCCAAATTAACCATTGTATCCTTTGGAACAGAAGGTCGTCTGGTTGCAACAATTTCAAAGAAAAATTAAACTTTTATTCTTCATCAGTCTATTAATTATATCCCACTACTCAAATGTATCGACGAGGTTACCCCAATTAAAACCTCTGAATCTCAGACACTTTATTAAAAACTCCAATATCCGGGGAAGACAACGAACCATGCCAATTGAGTCATAGAGAAGAGACAATCCAGCGAGGAAAATTTTCTCCTTCAACAATATCATTTTCTAAAGATGTACAATCGTATTTATATATATCATAAACATATAACAGTCTATTATAAAACAATAGGGTATAATTACATCATTAAACTAGTGCTAAAAACAAACCGGAATCAAGAATGCAAAGTAGTTGAGCAATAATCTAAGACAGTAGAAATATCGAGAAAGGCAAGGAGTTTGACAAGGTGAAAATTGTTGGTAGATAAGAAACGCAAATATTGAGTGTCCACTTGATAGATAGGTGTAAAGAAGGTGAAGAATGAGACAAGGGTCATAATGAAGGTGATAATAACAGACTAATTAATTATAATGAAACCGAAAGAAATGAAAGTGTTAAGAGGATGGTGAGATGAGAGATTGAACATACTTCTTTTGCACGCAGAGATCAGGCTTGAATTGATGAATTGTCAGTGCCTCCACTGTGCACAACTGTCGAAGGTGTACTCCTTTTGAACTACTCCATCTGACACGATAAATGACGTTGAAGGAAGATTCTGGTCTAGCTTAATGCCCAGAGTTGACCAAATGTTCAAGAATTGAACTGTTGATTGATTTACATTCTCCCCTCGACAGCCATGCAGAATAGTGCTCCGAGATACATTTGGAAAGCGTGCGCTTTGTGCGGCCTATATAGCTAGCTCCACAGGAGCAACTGAATTTGTAGACACACATCAAGGTAGCCTAAAGTTTTCTGTCAAGCTTGCCGTAGCGAATATACGAATTAGTTTTCTGAAAAGCTGCATGGATAAAATCGAATATGCAACTCCGTATTGGAAAAGTTTACGTCGAAATCACATTCGTCCAAATCATCGTTCTCTAAAGCGCCACACTTTGAATATCATTGATGAAACAAAATC